TTTCGTAGAGATAACAGGTGCATGTTGTTAAATACACCACTGCAACAAAGATGAATCACAAAATATGGATGTGCAAAGGGAAATGGCCCATTTAGAGTCTTGTTTCTTCAGATAAAATAGGGAGATATGAGATTTAGTTAAAAATCTTTTTCATTCCCCACTGATGACCAAATTAAATTTGCATATGAAATGCAAACTATTATTAAAACCGGAACCCAAATAACAAAACAAACTAAATTGCTAGTTAGTAGCGTAAACCTCCTGTCGACTCTAAAACAACCGCACGGAGAGAAGTGAGGCACACTGAAATTTATTGTGAGGCCATTAACGACGTCTGTGTGCAGACTTTAATAGCTGAGAATCACTTAATGCCTGTACAGTGTGTCCTCATATGTCTCTGTGCTAAAGTGTCACAATATGAACAAGTATATTCGATTCAAAGGACAACTGTGCAATTCTGAAATGAGCTCAAGAGTAAAAGCTCTGAGGACTGAGAACGAATGTATAAAGAAGCCTGATGTGTTGTATTTACCTCAACAGCATCATTTAAATAAAAGCTATAAAACCTGTCAGTACTGGAAATGCTAAACTAACTCATTATACTGCCCTACAAATAGAACACCCAGCTTTATTGGAGCCAGACGTTCAACATGTTCAAAGAGACTATGTGTTTAATTTGACTAGAAAATTTTTTAAACACTGGAGAATCTAAACTGCATTTGGCTCAAGCGTTGACCAGGACATGACAACAGATCGGATGAAGATGGAAGATCTCTGGTTACAGCAGTGAGAGGACAGATGGCAGATACAAGAAGATTGACAGACAGGTCAAAGGAAAGGGAACGAAACAGGGTGCTTCAATAGACACATAAAAGATTACACATTTTGGCTAAGTTAAACTCTCTAGAGCTTCCTGTTGCTAACAGAGTCTACTAACAGAATTATAACACACTCTGTTCTCCACTTAGCTCATTCCTGTCTACCTGCAGCCTGCTACCTGCAATAAGACACCTTCATGTTATTCTTATGACTGATTCACACTTCACACAGGCATATTTCAGCACCTAGTTTAAAACTAAACACTGTTTATTGTCTGAATGCAGTATCCAGACACAGATTAAATACTGTGCTTCACCCTGTTGACCAAGGAGGGTGCAAATTACTTCTGTTTTTGCTTTCAATAATTTTAGCAGTAGAGTCCCCACTCAAAGTCACAATCCAAACCAGCTAAAAACAACCCCATGGCATGTCCGTGCATGAAAATGCTGTGGTGAATAGCAGGTAAAAAAAATAATACAGCAACCATAATGTACGAAATCTGCCTGCATTTAATTGGATGAGAACCTACAGCCTTCATGGCACACTGTGACACCTCATTAACGTACCCACTTGTCCTTCAAATAAATAGTCCAAAAAGGAAACTTGTCAGTTTTATCAGATGACAATAACCCACATATAAAAAAACAGCAATGTATTCATATTATTAACTGCTGATTTAAATCAAAGTGCTATTTTTGTTTTAACATTTAAAGTGAAGAAGCCAAAAAGCCAGTCATTATGCGTCCAAAGTGGTCCAAATAAAGCAGTTGACCCTCAGCTGCAGGACCAGCTGTCACTCAACAAGCCTCCACTGTAACTTACAAGCAAAACTTTCCTCTTTTTGTTTTCATTTGAGCTCAGCTACTGTGAAGATCAACGAGCCGAGGCTGTGCATTTGTCTTACAGTTTAACTGAAATCGTTATGATCCAGGAAGCTGCAGGAGGCTTTGGACCACCGCCTCCACCAAATGCTTTGATTGGCACATGCTCCTTCTTGGATAACACACATCACAGCTCTGATCAGACTCTCACGACCCCTCACTGTCTCCCCACCTGCTTCTCAATATGGCTGTCTGTGAAGTTTAGTTGACTGCAGGATTAATGCAATCCACAGATACTTCCCTAAGATAACAACAGTTCAAACGCCTTAAACTGCTCCACTGATGGTATTCGCATCTCCACATGAATCTCTCCACAGAGACAATTTGTCTAAAACAGCCTTAGAAACTCATCACCACCTCGTACGCCTGTCACAATCCTCCAGCGTGACCACAGATACGATCTATTCTAGCAGCATCAGGCGAGCATTTGCATCATATTTGTTAACCAGGATGTGACCGACACAGGCAGACGAGGCGGGGGTTAGGAAACTGTCAAATGGCCATGAGTGTAAAAAATTAAGCTGCTGATATTGCGAACAAGACAAAGTTCCTATTCATGATGGCAACCACAATCCCTCCACCACTTTAGTGCTAAAGGCAACAGGTCAATTGTATTTCTAACAGCGGTTTGTAGCCCTAAAGTGTGGTTCTTCACTCATGTAAATGACTTAGTGATGATAACTCAATAAATTTTACTCTCTAACTATTAAAAACACAACGCTGTCAGAAAGAGATCCTGAAAGTGTCAAACAGCTGGGAACTTTTGAAATGAATATAAGCCATATCTAAATTGTAATAAATAAAATAAATAAATAAATAAATAAATAAATAGATTAAAATAATAGAAACATTTGTGCCTTCAAACGCAGTTCACTTAAAATGTGTTCATCTGTTTTTATTGTTGCAACTAAAAAACTGTACGTTGACAGCTATGTACATTATATATACACGCATATACACATAGTGTGTGTGTGTGTGTGTGTGTGTGTGTGTGTGTGTGTGTAAGAGCCAGCAGTAATCTAATATGATAAAAGAGTAAAATCATACAAAGCTCATTACACAAACCACGTAAGCAAAATCAGAAGACACTAAATATTTTCAACATCTCTTCTGATATTTTTGAAATATATTTTAAAACGTCCTCTAGAAGAATGCAAAAACATGTTTGTTTGTTTTCTCGATTTTTCTGAATGAAATTGGAGAGCTGTGCAGCTGTCTGGACGGCGGTGTTTTTTATTTTCCCCTGTTGTGTGTGATGGAGAGGAATGAGAGGCAGCTCACCGTTGTTGCAGTACTGTAGCAGCAGGTTGGTGCTGTCATACAGGCTCCCACACGAAGCTACCCGCTCCGACATCCTTTCCTCCTTTTGTTATCTCTTCTGTTTTTCCAACTCTCACTCGTCTGCTTTGTCCTCCTTTCACCTCTCTCCCTCTCTTCTTCACGCCGTTACCCCTTTCTGTCTCATCATACAAACACGCACACACGCACACATACACACTTTTACCTGCCTCGGCTCTCCGGCTATTCCCGCTCCAGCCTTACTGTCACCGTCAAGTGCAACCTGTGGGACAAACTGCACTTCCTCTGCCTGCTTTCAAAGTAATATTCAACAATGCTTCTTAGCCACTTAATATGATTTGGAAGACTTATGCGATTGTGATGTCAATTTTGGACTAGATTAAATGTATATTTTAATACAATATCAAAACAATACAGATTCAAATTTTTTATATATATAGTCACCTTAATTTATACAAATGACAAAGACTCTGTAGTGAAGTTATTTTGAAACACTATGTAACTTAAAAGACATTCAATTCTACTGGTCAGCAGGATATAAGCAGTTTAATCTGACTTTTCTTCTTTTAAGTAAATAAAAAGGTAATTATCTGTAATGTTTTAAATTCATATTTCTGGGGACATTTTTATTTATTTTTTGTTATCTTTTTGACATTACTTTTATTTATTTATTTACGTTCTTTTGTTTTTCCTTAGTTTTGGGTCTCCTTTGCGATGGGACCCGCTTTTATTTTGAAGGGAGAACCATGTTTCTTCCGGCAATAATCTAATTGACATCTTCCTGTCTGTCTGTCTGCCTTGTGTGCCGCTGTTCCTATAGCAACAGCCTCTCCGGCAGCTGTGGTCCGGGTAGCGATCATTGGCGGCAGGAAAGCTATACAGTTTGTAGAGTGTAGAAAACACCGAACTAAATGAAACAGGTTTGTGTTTGTGAGACGGGAAAGGTGATCGCAGGCAGGCGTTGCGTTCCTGAATAATTGACGGAGAAACGGTGAGCTGCACCTGGCACACGTGTTTACAATCGATGCCAGAAACCGTTGAGACAGAACTGGAGGTTGAACCTCTTCCGCTGCAGCCTCTGAACATGTTCGGCTGGCAGTACCTGCTTTTAGTTACGATTATTAACATTTCGACTTTCGACGACGAATACCTTGGTGTTTTTTTTAAGAGTAAGTAATAAAATCATAATTTAATAAATTGCCCTATGATGATGATTATTATTATTATTAGGTAGATGCTTTGGGACAAATATTGAAAAGAAAGAATGCTTTCAAAAACTGTATTAATGTTTTTATTGCTAACAAAGCAAAACACATTTCAGTTAGCTAAAGGACACATTTTGAATAAATAAATATAATGATTGGTTTAAAATGCAGACTGTATGTGACTGAATTTCATCACCAGGCCTCAAATGCATAATTAAATGAAACTAGATTCAATTTGATAGAGCACGAAGAAATGATCAGCATGTCAGAGAAGCTGACTTGTCTTGTGTCTGTTACTGACAACTTTGATCTAATACTGTTAAATCTTTCTTATGGTTGGTTAGTGCTACATAAATAAAGGTGTTTCAGTTTGTCACTGATAATTTATTTGCACACAGTTTAGTCTGTTGAAATGAGTCAGTGGCAGTACAACTTTATTAAATTGATTTAATCTCAAGCTCCAAGGCTATCCATTTTTTTTCCCTCTCAGGAGGGTTTGTTTCCAGTTTTCCTTTAAATGACATCAGAAGTCATATTGAGATGGTCTGTGGGCTGATCCTGACCTTCAGGTCTTATTTTAGGCATACAATCTACAATCAGAAGCCACCTTCCATTGTAACACTCGTTAAGAGTTCAGCTTTTCAGACAATAAATACCTCTGTTCTTTATATTGTAAAGCAAACCTGTAAAACACTTTGGAGCTCTTGAGTAGATGTAGAAATTATGAAAATGATTCATCTCAATCGCTAGTCAAGTAGATATCAAGTTTGATTTTTAATCGCTCATGTACTCGTTGTTAAAGATCAGCAGCACCTGGAAGAAAAAACTGATGACGTTGAAGGAATAAAACTACAAAATGAAGTCGTCATGTCTCCATGTTACACTCTTATGTCAAATAAAAACAATGCATTTTAATTTTCATACGCATTTATTCACAGATGAAAAATATGCACTCTCCTCCACAGGAATGTGTAACAAGATTTGGTAGAACAA